TGCCTTGATGCCCCTCTACCAATAAACCCCGAATCAAATGTCTGTCTCATCAGCCCTAAAAGCTGATGAACAAAACCATAGAAAGCTGAAAGCAAAAGTTGTTCTGCTGGTTCTGAAAAGAGGCGTGAGCAAGGCCCCTGGGAACCCCTGACATCTCTTCTGCCAATTTTTTCTCCTCAACTCAAGTGGACGCCGTGGCGTTGGACAGCAGAGTAAAGGCGGTGCTGGTTTCCCGTGCCATTGCTGCCGTACGCATGCCCACTAAAGCCAGAAGCAGTTACCGATGGGAACTTAATCTTTGGTTTTGACACTTTCTTTGAGGTTTAATTATTTGTGATGCCAAGTGGACTTGCTTGGATCTCTGTCACCATGTGCCCCAGCGAAGGGAGCAGTTTGTGTCTGGCACCAGCTGATGTGACGGTCTCGGAACGCTCCTGTTCCTGGTTGGCACTGTGAATTACAGACTGGGTTCCTGCTTTCCAGCCCTGTGTTGCTGGGCTCCATGCAGTAGCGCGAGGACCATGTGCATGGTAGCCCAGCCCACCTGTGTGGGGAAAGCTTTGAGCTGGCTTGGCTTAAAACCAGCCTTAGGACTCCCCTGATGAGGAGGAGACACAGCACAGAAGGGCACATTGACTTCAGAGGAGCAGGACATCCCAAAGTACCTGTGTTTCATGACACGTTCCCCCCTTGGAGGCTCCAGAGCCCCTGGGGACCGGGCAGAGGTGCACGAAGCAACTCATGCTTCTTGGCGCAAGAGATTCAGGTTCCCTCGAAACCTAGGCAGGTGTCTTTTTTACACTGGAGACCCATTTTCAGTGTTTTCTCTACAATTCTGTGGGCTTACCCTTTTTCTTGTAGGCAGGCTAAGATGCCAAAGGAGCCGTGTGCTGGACATGGCAATGCCGGGGCTAGGGACTGCCAAAGCCCTGACAGTGCTCCGGTGAACCCTGTGCCACTTCAGCTGGCTTTCCCCTGCCGTCCTGTTAATTATCCTTCCTTTTTGGTGCTCCCTTCCTGCTGCCAAGCCCTTCAGCTTTGTCTATGCTTATGGTTGCTGTTGCCATGCATGGAGGGGACTAATGGACTAACTTTCAAAGATCAGCCTGCAGGAGACTGTTTGCAGAAGAGCTGCGGTGTGCGGCTCGCACCAAGCCTGTTCTGCTGCGCCTCGTCTCTGCCAACCCTGCCCTTTGCGATAACCTTCCTGCAGGGCTCTGGCAGAGGCATCTCGCAGCAGCTGTTTCAAAGATTGCTTTTCTCAGCCGCCTGCCTTGCCTCTTAGCTGGAGGGGGAGCGTTGTGTCGCTCTGACGGATTTCCCAACACAGTTGCAAGACCTCCATAAAAACGGACTTGCGTTGATATGGCAGGTTATGAGCAGGGCAGCTGGGGAGCAGGTGCACCTCCCGCTCTGCCACCACAACACGGGGATGATAATTTTCAGTGGTAGCCTCTTCCATAGTTCAAGTCAAGTTTAGCAAAGCATTTAGAGGCAAAACGGCAATCGGATTAAACTGCAGTTTTCCCTTTTGTCTTACTTACACAGGCACAGCAGAGCAGCTCCTCCTGGCATTCCTTAGGAAACCATCATTGCATCCTCCAGGGATCAGCTGCTGTTACTAAAACCCGCTTTTTCCCTGTGTGTGCCTGTACTTTTCTGCACGGCTGCATTGAAATGTGCTGCCCCTGCTGTCGCAGAGCTGCCGTGAAGGGAACTGCCCGTCCCTGCTGGTTGAGTGCTAGGGGTGTAGGGGGATGATCCCGCTGAATGGGAAGGACCCCGCTCTGAGCAGGAGTGCCCGGAGAGAAACCTCAACTGCAAATACTGCAAATTGCTTTTCTACTTCCCTGATGCTGACGTAGGAGTGTTACGGCGTGCGCACAGGCTCTGTTCGCCAGCAGGCCCGCAGGCCAGGGGAAGAGGGATCAATACCTCCGTTGCAGCCCGTTGGCGCTGCTGCGGAGAGGAGCACGGGTAGGTGCTGAAGGACTGAGCGGCCGCAGTGGTAACCCACGAGCGCCTGCACCCTGAGCGAGTGCTCGTAGGCTGCCCTGGTCCTTCCGAGGGCGGCAGTGGTGTCCGATTTTCTCCTCCCTCAGTTGGGCTCCCAAGAGAATCACCTGTTCTGATGGTGGCATGTGATGGTACAGGCTGCCGCTGGGTTGTCTCGCTGTTTATTTTTAGGGAGCGAAGATGATGTGCAGATCAATCGGCGGTTTTGGTTTTAATTGAGTGGGAAGAGCGAGGTGTTGCTGTGCAGGCTGTTAACTCTGCCTGGTTTGATTTTCCTACCCCTGCTGTTGGATGCTGAAGGCTGGTCTGTGCCTAGGTTTACAGCTGGTGGGTGAGAAGTCAACACTGAGGTAACCGGAGAGTAGCCCTGAAGGTCTGAGTCAGACTGTTGTCTTCCAGCTCTGCTTTAATTCTTCTATTGCCGTCCCCTCTCTCCAACCCCCATCTGACTTGATTTCCACAACAGGTTCACTTTGGGAGAGTGACTCTGCTCTCGCCTAGTCCCGTTCACAGCGATGGCCTTCCAAAGCTGCCTAAAATGTTCACAGCAAACGCCTGGGTGTCAGAGATGCTGGTCCCTGCTGCAGAAGCTCACGGATGTGGGTTTGGGAAAGGTGTAAACAGGAGGATTGCCACATTCCTGGGGGAGTGGATGCAGCAGATCAGGCTTGAATGCCAACCCCTGCTCTTCGGCTCCTGGGTGGGGTGGATTTCTTCCAGCGGCGATAGCATCCGTCTCTGTTTAGACACCCGCGTAGAGGGGGAAGGAACAGGGGATTCCAGAAGAGCCCGAAACTGTTTATACAAAAACCTTTGTCTAGAGGTTTGGAACTGTGCTGGTTAAAGCTAATGCTTCTGTGTCTTAAACAATTTACATACGGACCAGTTGCACTTTCAGCTTAGCTGTGCGGGGCTGGTTTCCCTTCTCATGCTGCAAGCTGGGCACGCTTCGCAGGGCTGCCTGCGTGTTGGGTGTTATATCACGGTGTAGCGTGGAGTCGGGATGGAAGATAAATGCTGGGAGGTGGGGAGCGCAGAGGGGGTGGTAGTTTCACGCCTAGCACATTGGCACGGGAGAGCATAAGTTTTAAATACTCCCTTTTTAAATAGTTGTCTCTACAGTGAAGTTTCCTTCCTTCAGCCAGACCGTCTGTTCTTATGCCAGCGTTTTGTGGGTCGTGGGGAAGATGCTATCCGGTGTTTCTAGAACATGAGAGCAGTAGGTGGGTAGAAGAAAGGGTTCAGCCCCTCTGAAGCGAGTGGGATGAAGGAGGGCGCTCTGCCTCCTCCGCCGCCTCTGCAGGCAGCGCTGTCGGTGCAGGCAGCACTGCCCCGCCGAACCGCGCAGGCTGGCCGGTCGCTTCTCCAGGGACAGCGCAGTGAGGCTTTGGGTCTGGTTACTCATTTAAAGTATAAAAAGGAGAGAGTAACTAAGAAGCCAAAGCTGAGCCACTAATGGGTTTCACTTTCCAGTTTCTGATGTGGTAACAGTATTTAAGTTTGTGCATGTTTCCCCCTGCCCCCCAAGATAGTAACTTGTTTTAATAAAGAATAAATGTGACCGAGTTTTCAAAAGCATCTGGTTTCAGATGACTACTTTATAAATGCTTCTGGGTTTTTTTTCCTGTTACTACCATGGCAGGATACTTCAGTGCACTTACCTTTTTTAATCTGAATTTTGAACTGCATATTCGTGGCATTTACAATACCTTGTTTCAACCGGTTGGTGTGTAAAGAGAAGGTTTAAACAGTGTGGAAATGACACAGAAAGCAGAGGCACGTTCTAGCATTCCCGATTTAGCTGGTATTGCTGGCCCTAGTATCTGCTGAGGACAGAATATCACGTTGCCCTGATCATTTGTTCAGCTCCGCTGGACGCCAAACAGACTGCGTGTGCTCTGGCTGCAGGGGTGGGTGCTTGTGTGCAGGGGCTATTAAATGAAGCAATTTTAAAATATTTTTTTTTTCTGGTTGAAAAATGGTTTTCTGATTTGAATGGGAAGATACTATCAGACAGCTCAGCCCAGCGTGTGATGAGTAGGTTATGGGTTCATACTTCAGCTGACTGATAACCATTACAGTGGAAAAATTATACAAATTATCTTGCTGAGATAGTGGCTTACTTCACTCAACCTGCCTGAACGTGTATTTTCCTGGCAGAGCCATAAATGGAGCTTCCTGTTGATTATCTTGTCCATCAAAGATACTATCAGACAGCTCAGCCCAGCGTGTGATGAGTAGGTTATGGGTTCATACTTCAGCTGACTGATAACCATTACAGTGGAAAAATTATACAAATTATCTTGCTGAGATAGTGGCTTACTTCACTCAACCTGCCTGAACGTGTATTTTCCTGGCAGAGCCATAAATGGAGCTTCCTGTTGATTATCTTGTCCATCAAAGCAGTAATTTTTTTTTTTTTTTTTTTTTTTA